CATTTTTCCTGCTGGGCATGGTCCCCCCCTTACTGCTTCGTATATGCTATTTATGTCGGGGGAAAAAAATGCTAATCCTCCATCTGCCATAGGTATCACACATCCTTTCACCAGTCTGTCCTTCGCCTTTTGATTTTGTGTACAGTGAATTTTACCTGTAGCAGTTTTTAATTTCTGTAAAGTAAATCTAGTCGTCTTTTTCTTGGTAGTTTCTAAACTTGTTTTTATTGGAAATATTTCCTAGCTCAAGAATATAGAGTTTATTCACCTAAACTTCTTCTTATATTTATGTACTTCATTTATACATTGAAATCCTTAGTGCATCTGAAATTATTTAAGTGCTTAGTTTAAGAGACAGGTGTAATGTTATTTTTTCCACAATTTTATGATGTATGCTACAATTTGTCTTAATATCTGCCCTTACAAGTCTCTTTACATTGGTCTGATTTTTCTGTTTCTTGGCTACTCTCACAAATGTATTTTAGGTGTAAAATAGAATCTTTTTTTTACATGCCAACTTCAGTTCTATTAGAAGTTTGTTTGGGATTGCAGTGAATTTATAGGTTACTTTATGGTGAGTTCATTTGTTTAAAATATACCAATTCTTCCAAGGCAGAAATATAGTACTTCTCTCCATTGATTCAAGTCTTCTTTTATTTCCCTTAACAAAATTTGTTGTTATTTTTTAAGTACAGTCACATCAATTACAGCTGACATATGAGAAACCTATTGGTTTTTATACTTTTATTTTGCAACTGGGCATCTTTGAAGATTTTCTTAAGAGTTCCAATAGTTTCTCAGCTTATCTCAAGTTGTCTAGGTGCATAATCATATATCTACAAATAATGGAAATTTGTTTCCTCCTTTATTATTTTTTTGCCTTGGTGAACAGGCTGGTACTGAAAAGCAGCACCACATTACTGGCACATCATATAATTAATATCATTTTTTAAAAGCATATGTAGTATATTAACAACACGCACTATATATAACATTATGTATTTTATTTATAAATTATATCTTATATTTATATTTGTACATTATATGAATTTTATAACTTCATTTACATATATTATAAAGTGCCATATACTATGCTATACAAATTAAATAATATATATTTTATAAAATATAAAATGTATCATATATAAATGTTTATTTTATATATAATTACATGTATGAATTATATAAAGCATTATACACAAATATAATTTATACTATGCAATAAATAATATGTGAATATATAATTTAATAATTATTGACATAAAACATAGAATAATATTATTATTGTTACATTGCATATGCTTCAAAGGTAATATTATACCATGTTGTGTTCTGTTTTATATGTTACAATGTTATGTTATATTGATGAGATTTTTGTTTTGTTTCTCTCTAAAATAGAAATTTCTTTAGTCATTCACCTCTATATATGATATTAGTTTATGGTATAGTATGGAGGTACTATGCCAAATACTTCTAAGGAAGTATTTCTTTATTCCTATTCTACTAAGAGTAGTTTGCAAGATAGATGCTGAGTTTTTAAAAATGCTTTCAAAACGCATACAAAGGCGATGACACAGATTTTCTTCTTTGACCTAGTAATTGATATTGCTACCTTCCTAATCATTCTCGAATTTCTGAAGAAAAAGATCTTTCATGATTTTTTGGAAATTGTTTATTTTTTATTTGGGATTTTACATCTATTTTGTTATTAGTTGGGATAACGCTAAAACAAACCACAAAACCTGTGAAACAAACCACAGAACTTTGACAGCTTAACAAGAGAAGTTTATTTCTTGCTCATAAACATTCCAGGGAGGGTTTCCCTCCATGGCAGGCGCCTTCCGTCTNGATACCAAAATTTGTAGGATACAAAAATGGTGTCCTCAAAAATTTTTATGGCACTGAATGCATACTTTAAAGCAAAAAACATGTAAAATCAATAATGTACACTTCCCCCTTTGGAAACTAAGAGGGGGAAAATGAGCTAATTAAATTGAAAGGAAGCAGAAGGAAATAAAAACTAGAAGAGAAATAAAATTGAAAAAGAAAATTCAGAGAAAAAGTGAACATCTGAAAAGTTGATTCTTTAAAAAGATCAATTAATGTGAAGACCTATAGCCACACTAACTAAAAAGATAACGAATAGAAGACAGAAGTTACTATTACCAGAAATGAATGACAGGACATCACTACAGATCCTGTGGACATTAAACAAATAATAAATACTATGTGTTGGGAGCCTGTAGCCCCACACCCCTCCTTGTGTGGCCGTGCCTGCGTGACAACCTGCTTGCGCCAGATGGCCATGCTTATGTGATAACTGCCTCGTAATCTGTTTGTGCCTGGAGCTCTGTGTTCCTGGCTATGCAAGTTTACTCAAGGGTGACCTTTCATCTTTCAAGTTTCTGCTTTGCTGTAAAGATTGGGGGCTGCACTTCATCAGGAATGTCCTGTCCTTGTTTCCTCTCAAGATCTTATCATATTCCTGCATTCCTGACTCCTTACAATATGCCTGCTTTT